GATGTTCATTAATGTTAAATATTACATGTACATTTAAAATAATGAAAATTGCAATGTAAATGATTTGCAAAAATATACATGTAATGAACATTTTTCCCGTGACTTCCTGATGTTCTTTTTCTTTTTAACTACTGGAACTTTCTTTTTCTTGGCGGCTATGTTAACAGTAGTCCGTTCAATGGCTTTGGATGATGTTTCCGCTGTTTCGGTAACTATCATTGGTTCAACTGTTTTAGGTATATCAAGTGGAGCAGTCGGAATATCAATAGGTTGTAACAGTTCCTCTTCTTCCGAAACGACTGGTCTAGGATATGGTTTGACTCTTCTCGTTTGACTCCTTCGTTGGGCAGGATAAGCTTCGAATAAGGTATTTAATGATATAGAGGATTTATCAGGTTTTGCATCTATACCTCCGGTAGATGCACCATTTAGTTTAAAGATGGCTGTTGACCATTACCAATGGTCGTATTACTCGCAGAGTTTAACTGCTTCAGCAATTCTTGTACTAAACTTTGGGTATCGTTGGTAGTTGAAGTCGAAGTAGGAGGAGCAGTTACAACAGGCGCGACGGCAGCATTGGTATTATTGACGTTCATTGAATTAATTGGGCACCGGTGGCTTACATGTCCAGGTTCGCCACAAGCATAGCAAACGATTGGTCGATTTGATCCCGAAGGAGCGTTCGGATTTCTACTATCACTTCGTGGTGGTGGTCGATTTCCTGTAACCTTTTTTCCGATCTCTGTGATTTGCTCAGTTAGAGCTGCAACCAATTTAGTGAGCTTGGTAATTTCAGACGTAGTTTGACTGGCATAGTTCAATAACTTCGTCTTTCCTGATCGTAAGGTAAGTTCACAACCTTTGGCTCTTCCTATCGCATCTGCTAATGTTTGATCCCCAAAGGGTTTTACCGCCATATAGAGCTCAGGTTGCAATCCAGAAACAAATTTCCGAGCTTGTAAATTATCGGGATAGGCGAACGCTGCATCGTTAACTCGCTGATAGAGTTCTTGAATGGACGAGGCGTATTCATCTACGCTTTCATTCGGTTGTTGCTGCCTCTGATCTAACTCAGTCGCCCACATCTCTACCATAGCCGCAGTCTGAAACCGGGTAAGGAAAGCATGTTCAAAGTTATTAGCGTTGGCTGCTGCTGCCCAGGTGTTAATAGGTGCTTGTACCGCTGTTTGATACCAAACGGCAGCTGGTCCTTTAAGATAAGCAGGGACTATTTGTAATTTCCGCGCGATATTCCATCTATTAGCCATCGCGGTTGCATTAAATTCGTTCAACCAGGTGATGGGATCTTGGTTTCCGCCACTAAACGTTGGCACCTGCGCAACGTTATGGTTCCGATTTTGTAAAGCATTGTTATTCGTGGCTACCATAGCGTTTAGTGTGTTCATGGCATTTCCGAGATTGTTTGGAGCTAACATTTGTCCTGTTAAGGCTTGCACGGCTGCTGTCAAGGCTTGAATATCTGCTTGGTTGACTTGAGGGGCTTGGTTGAATCGGTTAGGAGATTGTCCTTGACCTTGATTATTTTGAAGATTTGACATATTTTCGTCTTCAAACAGGTATTCTAGATATAACGGTTCGTTAATAAAAAGAAGATTTCTAGGATATCGTAATATCGGAGAAGTTGGTGGTGTTATAAAAGACAGTTCATAACCTAACGGTTCGTCTTCGTGCTGATAATGAACGAAAGGGTCAAGGTTAAAATTCTGAAACCTTTCACGAGCTGTATATATCTTGATAGCTAATTTATCATAAGAAAACGAGGCGTTTTGGTATCTAATACTTGATATCAATTTCCGAATAAGATATTGTTGCCTTAATATCGTTCTTTGACTATATTCGTAAAAATATTGAACGGTTTTTGCAGAATAAGACAATGTGAGAGTTTCTAGTGAATACCAGTTCCAAAATCGTAGAAAATATCGGTCTGGTATTGTGAGAACAGGATGACAAATACGACAAGAATCGTCTGCTAATTCAAATAGAGGAATATTAGGATATGTCCAGTGTAACTGATCGTGGCGTTTCAGGAGATTTCTATTGTTCATACAATAGGAAAGATTATCCTTTGTTGTCAAGTCAATTCAGGGGTAATCGTACGGTCAGTTTTTGTTTGTTTCTGGCAGAAGGCACCAATTGTTACCGAATAATGACGGTAATTAAGGGACGAATGGCGGATGACTTATATCGTATAACTACACGAATACCAACAAAATTCTTACTCAATACTACCTATCCAAGGTACTTCCGGTATTGTTCGTTAAGAATCGTCAAGGTAAACACTATAAAATATGATAAATGGAAATACGCAATGGTTATAACAACAACTGTTATATGACTGTTAGAAACAACGTGTAATATTGACCAAATATAACGATTTTATTAAACAGGTGTAAATTCGGATCTTTACAGCAAAGCGATAAAAAGTGACAGAAAGGGATGGAAAATATATTTTAAAGATATTTAGCGACAAATAACTACAGAAAAATAGCTATATCGTAACTATTCTATCAAAGAGTTGGCAGAAGGTATATTTATATCTTATTTTATCTAGCTGTCATCTCTTTTTCCTGTCATCAAGGCAAAATCTAATCTATAGATGTCTATTGATGAGTTATTGATTTCGTAATATATCAATACGATTACAATACGATTATAAGCCACTTTTAATAAAGTACAAATGATAATTTTAGACAGTTAATTACTATTGAGCTAATTTTCCCACAATAGCTTCTAATTAAATTCAATAAAATTGTTTACATATAAATAGTACAAATAAAGAAAATAAATAATAATAAATAAATAAATTAAAATAACTATAAAAACGATATATAAGTAAATCTTTCAAATAAAATCAATATCTTTAATATAGTTAACCGATATACACAAATCAACAATTATCATACATCGGCGTGAATCGTCTCATAACACCGGAAATCGACATGTACACAAATGTACCGAATTTCATCAGATCACCATATAATATCGGAAATCACATGCGCAAAATTTCACGTAACAATGGCAATATATGAAAGATTTTCAGATATCATTAAGAACTTCTCAAAGGATAAAGAATTAGCATATGCATTATTAGACTTAGTAGAAATATTATCAAAAAAGAAACCTACAACATTCAACATTATAGATTACAATATACAAAGAATATTCACATATCCTAATGATGAATATAGAAATGAATTCAGCATCTACCATATTAAAGGAGATGGGGATATGGATGAAGACACAGATGAAGACATAGATGAAGACATAAATGAAAAAGAGCAGAATGAATTCAATGAATACTACCAGAATCTTGCACCGACTACTGAGAGCCAACCACTGGTCGAAATCAAAACTTTCGGTCATGTGACAAATCGGCAAAAGTTTGGCAGATTTTGGCTCAATTTCGGAAGCTATTAAAAATCGGTCAATTATATTCCAAATTTTGACATAGTCGATTTATAAAAATCGGTAGAATATCGATAATGTAAATAATTGAATAAATATTATTAACAATTTTTATATGAACAATGTTTATTGTATAACCGATTTTTGTACGAATGCTGTATGAACAATGTTTATTGTATAACCGATTTTTGTACGAATGCTGTATGAATGATGTTTATTGTATAACCGATTTTGTACGAATGCTGTTAATTATAAATTATTTACAGTCAACTCTCTTTATAGTCACACATTTGGGACAGTCCATATTTGGTGATTATAAAGAGATGTGACTATATAAAAAATTTCTTATATTAGTATATCATAATTCCGGCCAAAAATTAACATAATTTTAGCCAAAATTATACTCAAAACTTTATTGTATCGTAACTCTGCCAATATTAATC